AAAAACAAAACTAAACCACAATGATCCGCAGACTAAAATGCCATGGAGTTCTTTGTAATCCCATGTAGTCCTCCATCTCACTGTAAACTCGACCATGCGAAGTAGAATATGGGAGGGTCTTTAAAATTAATTGTAGGGTGGTTGACCTCTCCCATACTTGCCCTTGATTTTCCATTTGCTTGCCTCAACCCTCCTATACGTCTACTTGATTTTCCATTCGCTTGCTTGCCCTTATGTTACGTTGTCATCTCGGGGGAGGGGTCAGGTACCTTTTAAATAATTCTCCAATATATTCCAATTATGTGGCAAGTACCGACGCCTTCCTGTTGCTTCTGCCTCTTTCTATACATGTGAAAGCAAAAACAAAACTAAACCACTACAGCATCGGTTATCTTTTTTGGGCTTGTCTCAATCGTTCTTGATATTTCTTCCTCAGCAACTCAAGCTCCATGATGTCAGAAGCCTGATTGTGTTCCATTGGTTGTCTCTTCTTCGGAAGCCTGGACATCGCGCGACTGATGTTGCGGGGTGTGTGTTAGATTCCGTCTGTCGGAAAAAGCTTTCCGTGAGAATTTCCGACAGCTCGGTTGTCCGACTCAGTTCCCCCCCGGGATTGATCCACAAATTAATTGGAGCACATGGACACGCTCGTAACCAAAACTGTTCTGGAGCCAAAAAATTCCAAGCTACCGTTTGACACGTCTAGGAATAATTTTTATCGACTACGTCCCCCCACCTCAAAATAAAAAAAAAATATTTTGCTGGTGGTCCCTCCTACGGTCCCTAGATCGGGACGGGTGATGTAGGAACCTCAGACAGGGTCGCCCCCAATCCTTGGCGAAGAGTCCTTCTGACAATTTTTGACCAGTAATCCTTTGTGCCCGTTTGGCATGGTAGGCTGAGTTGTGACACCGATTTTATGTTAGGTAGAGACGGGCTTTGGGGTTCCAGATGTTTATGGCAACGTAAACGATGTGGAGTTAAAGCAAACGGAGCACCGTACTCGAATCGCATAAAGAGCGCTCCCAAGACTTTTCCGGTGAGCATCCAAAGTCAGAAAATAAACAATGTCCTTTGAAGTTTGATTTCAATGGGTGGACACTCCAAAATGCTGTTGGCAGATGCACAGGTGAGCGCGCAGCGAAGCCCGCCAAATTCTCGCGTGCCCAGCGCGGAAAAAAACATGTCGAAAACCGCAGTCGTCGACTTGCGAGTTGCGAGAACCCAAAAGCATGCCATGGATAAGGGGTCAGACTGAGGATCTCAGCATGGCTTAGGTCAATGAGTCAGAATATCATCCCAAAACAGGGAGGATTCTGTTCATTCAGTGGATCTCCCCCCGTGCCAACATTCTTTTGACCAAAAAAGATTGGGTTTCGTTGCCGACAGTGGACAGCCTGCCCTGCCATCAACGGAGTTCGAGCACGAAACGCGGTGTTCGGCGATGGATGCAATTTCTTAAGTGACTGTAAAAGGCGACTTGATCTTGGAGAGATTGCGTAGCACTTCAGCCATTTCAGGTTCAGCCTGCGTCAAATGAGACTGATCACAAAGCTGTTCGTAGTCGAAATACAAAGCAGGTTTCAGGTGGATTTACATATGACTCAAATACTTGTGTGTTCTTGCAAACTTGAATGGATTTGTGTCGGCCCGCAAGACATACTCGCCCCTCTCACGATCCCCAAAAACCTTTGGCTGGATTCCCCATCATGTTGACTGTTGAAGTACGACTTCAGAACCCCACTTGTCCAGAATATCCTTACATCTCCAGTCCTCGGGATCTTCCTCTTCTTGTTTCAGGAATAAAACCCCACACTTGGATGGTCGTTCACGGATGTTGGCCCGGCCTGTTGGGTTGAAAGATCATGTTTGTGCATTTTGGGCGTCACACTATATAGTACCCAGAACCTCAGAACCGACGTCACACTATATAGTAGGTTGGAGGCCATCGCTATTAGGTTTACGTCTGGGCTCAGAACCTTGGTCGAGCGGATCGCTCGCGGTGTGCGGAGCGCGCCTGCTGGAGCCACCCGGAAGTGGAGGACGGAAGCGGAGGGGACGAGGAAAAAACGGGGACATGACATGAGGGTGTGTGGGAAGCCACTGAGTGAGAAGTCAAGAGGGCAAAGCCGGGATAGCCTTGCTAGTTCAATCTGATGTTGCTTCATGCTGCTTTAAGCATTCATTTAAATGTGGTCCTGCAAGGGTTGAAGGGTGATGGCACATGAGATTGGTAGTTGAAGTTACTGATAGTTACTGTATATCGTCTAGTTGATTCATCCCTCAACAGATAGATGGGACTGCTAGGCGCTTGGAGCTGCATGGTTTCTGCACCATTTGCAGGATCGAGGATGGCTGAGGCTGGGCCTTGCAGCTGGGTTTGAGAGACGCTGGGGTTCCTCTTGACTTGTGGCAGAGGCTCCCAGTGAAGGAGAAAGTCGAACAGCTTCGGAGGAAGAGGAACATGGCTCTGAGCCAGCACAGGAGCCAGGGATTCGAAACGCCGGTTCGATTTCATTCATGGTACACAAATGTGTGGGAAAATCAAAAAGAAAAAGCAATTACAAGCATACAAAAGCACATCAAACAAGCTTTGTCGACTAGCCAAATAGATTCGGTGTGGATTGTGCTGGCAAATAAACTACTCTTAAAGGTGTCTCCCATTCCTCTCATAAGAACCTTTGTCATATTTTTTGAGACAATTCACGCCCGATCGTTTTTGACCCTTTGACCAAGCACTGGATGTGGCTTTGCTGAGCATGTTCCTGCTTTCTTCAGGCAATGTCGTTGTCAAGAATGTTAAGAGATAGAGGTGGTATGTAAGTTCTTGGTGCGACCCAGGTATTTCATCGTATTTCGATAGTGATGATGTTTAAAATGATTTGTCCTGCGTCCCTCTGTTTTTGGTGCCTAACATGTGCTTGCACCCATAACAAATCATAACACTCCACTTTGGGGGCAACCAGCATCTTGCCATGCGTGAGCTTTGGAGGACAGCGAAGGAGAGGCGTTTGAAGAGGAACTGCAGCAAGCGATGCTTCAACGCGTCCCTCGGTCCGGCACCGCCGAGGCGGCCGGTCAGACGAGACCGAGAAGCGACATGGTTGGGCGACAGGTGTTCGATATGTTTCGATCTAGGGCGTTTCGATCTGGCATGGGTTCGGGACAAGATGCAAACAGCATGTTGGTTTGTATCTGTTTTGCATAGGTCATTAGCTTCGTTCTGTTCTGCAGGTGACTTTTCCATTGTGGTTGAGCACCCCGGTCGCGGCTCAGGTTGAACAGATGCTCTATGGCAACAGTGGCTTGCCGTATCTGGGCAAAGAAACAGCAAACCCGCTGGCCTGCATCAACTGAGTGGAAAGCCCACCCAACTCCACTCGTCCTATGTTTTTTTTCAGTATCTTGAATATTACAATTCTTGAATCGTGGATAATCATAGCTTTTCTCCACAATTGCCCTTTTCCTACTTGTTCCGGGGCTGGACTTTGGTGGCGGTGTGTCCTCCAACCTGCATTTGGATAGTGTGGATCGTTTGGACAAGGATTGAGGCCCCCCAAGTCAACTTGGTGGGAATCTGGAAGACAACTTGCAGGATCCTGACATTCTTTTGGGTCATGTACGCAGATCCCAGATGTAACATCCCTGCATGGCATCCTGGCAACGCTCGCTGACCCAGGATCCAAGCGCCCAAGGAACCGGAGCCCTACTGGCCCGGGGAAAGCATGGGAGACCAGCTGGGAGCCCTACCGGAAAACCGCTGAAAAGCCACTCTTCTGGACGATCTGGTGATGGGATGGCCATGTTTTTCAGGCATGATTCAATGGGTGAGCAAGACGTGTTTTGTTCCCACTTATATAGTGACTTGTAGTTTCACATCTTGCTGATCTGTGGGGTCAAACCCAAATTGATGACCTTGACCGATGGACTTTTCGAGATCCTCAACTGCAGATCAAGTGCACTTGTCAGAGGGTTTCTCCAAGGTGGTGGAAGGAAGAGGATCCGAAATCGCCCACGACTCCAAACTCAGAAGCAGTGCTTCGGCGGCGCAAGGGTGAGTGGCGTTCGCCAAAGTTGAGGACTTGGAGTAAAGTTAGAAGAGTGCAATCCTGTGTTTGTTCAATCCGATGATTGAAGACGTACCATATTGTCCAATTTATTCAACATGTTTTCACCGACCCATGTTGCTAAGTAGGTATTGACACATCAGTCAATCCTGGAACAAGATCAGTCTGAATCAGATTTAAGTGCCACGCTAGTAGTAACAAGTGCCTTACTAGTAGTAACAAGAAGCTATTAGGAACAAGTGCCACGCTAGTAGTAACAGGTGCCTTACTAGTAGTAACAAGAAGCTACTAGGAACTAGTAGTCAGATTTGATCAGATGCTTCTCACGCTTCGGGCACCGGGAAGATGGCGCTCCGAGGCGCCGGGCGTGGTGTCCCAAAGCTCTCGGAAGGAGGCCATGGGCACCGGGAGCCACGAGCGTCCACGAGCCGCGGTGTGCTGCTCTTAGGTTGGAGGCCATCGCTCTTAGGTTGGAGGCCATCGCTCTTAGGTTGGAGGCCATCGCTCTTAGGTTGCGGGCCATCGCTCTTAGGTTGGAGGCCATCGCTCTTAGGTTGGAGGCCATCGCTCTTAG